TCGATGGGCACTGTGTGCCCTGAAAGGCCCGGGTCCATGTGGGCTGACGGAGCCTCCGGGGCTGCCTCGTACCTGATGAGCTAGCTGGCTGCCACTCCTGCCTCTCGCCCCTCCGTCCCTGCCTGTCCTGGAGCCCATCAGGGACACTTCCCAGCATCCCCAGGGGTGAGGGCGGGGGCGGGGCTGGAGACTGGGATGCACAGTGGGACGGATGGGAGCACCTTAGCATTCTTAGCCTCTGCCCAGCCCTGGAGCCTCCTCTGGTGTCTGCAGGATGACTTTTGACTCCTGGGGCCTCTGTGTTCTCTCCAGGGTGGGTTGGCTCTTCACCCTGGAAATGTCCTGCTGGGACAGTTATGTTTACAGAAACTCCCCATCTGACGCCCGCTAATGGCCTGGGTGAGGGGAAATCAAGATTGAAAGCCATCAGACTGGTCAACGCCACCCGGGGACCATTTGTCAGGGCTCCTGGGCTTGCCGGTCTCTCAAAGGCCCTCACACCTTCAAGCTCACTTTGATTTATTTCAACAAACCCTAAATGCAGGATTTTCAAAGACAAGTGCCCTTTTTCGATCAGGCTTCTTTTGAAACAGAGAAGTTGAAGAAGCAGGTTTGTGGGCGTGAATTGCTGCTGCAGTGGGTGAGACATGGCAGGCACCTGTCTCCCTCCCTGCAGAGGGAGAATAAGAGCTTTAGGAAGGCATCGGCCGCAGCAGGAGGGAGTTGGGTCAGACTTCAGGAAGAACTTCCGGGTCACAGAGGCATGAAGCGTAACCTGCCTCTTCCTCAGCCCTTTCTGCTCCAGTTTGGAGATGGTGCCTCTTTTCCCCGGGGAAGCCAATGCACATGAGGACTGGTGGGTTAGAATTCCCACCCTGAGCAGGGTTTGGTGGTGCAGGGCTATCATCCCAGCTCTCTAGGAGGCTGGAGCAGGAAGATCTCAAGTTTGAGCCTGACCTAGGTAATTTGGTGACTTAGTGAGACCCTGTCTCAAAAGAGAAAAATAAAAAATAAAAAGGGCTGAGAATGTAGCTCAATGTGAAGGCCCTGGGTTCAATCCCCAGTATTAAAACAAAAAACCAAAAAACCCCACCCTGCTTACCCCACCAGTACCCGGTCAGCTTCCCATAAAGGTTTCAAAATGGAACTCACCGGGCCTCAAATCCCAGAATCCTTCAAGCTTGGCCCAGCTCACAGATGGGGAGACCAGTGCTCAGAGGGCCTGGGGGCCCCAGGTCACATGGCCCTTAGCATGGAAGAGGGGCCTCCTGGCTCTCAGACCTGTGCCCGCCCGTTGGAGCCCGAGTTCAGTGGACTTGGCTCCCGGAAGGGTGAAGTTTGCAATGCAGGCCGGGCCCTTGCTGTGTGACCCCTTGAGGTGACCTCAGTGGGTGTCGCCCGGCCCCTCAGGTGGGGATGCCCTTGGCAGCTCCTCAAGGGGGTTTGTGTCAGTCTGCGCTTGAGGACAAGTCATGTCAGCTGCCAGCGAGAGCAGGAGGGAGGGCAGCGGTCCCAGTGGAGCCCTCAGGTGGGCCCGGATGGCAGCACGGAAGAGCCAGGCCTCGGTCTGGGGACCCGCACCCCGGTCGAACCCACAGACTTGGCCATCTGCCAGTCAACAACTTTCTTTTTTTAACCTCTGAAAAATAGGGTGTGCCGGACTCTGCGACACAGCTGGTGCGGGCGGGACGGGACGAGTCCAGCCAGAGCCGGGCGACACTGGCCTGGGCCTCGGAGTGGCTGACTCAGCTTCTGTGCTCAGTGACCGAGGCCTGGTTTTCAGCCCTGCGTCCATCACCCGTGCACCTAGGGTGTCACTGTTATGCTCTGTGCTGAAAAAAACCCAGCGCGGCCCCAGTGAAGGGCACTAAACAGGCACCAGCCAGGTGCTGCACATGCATTTCCTGTCCTTTTTATGGCCGCTTATAAGTAGGGCCCTGGCACCAGCCCATTTGGTGCCACCCTCCAAGTGCCAGAGACAGGAACTGCGTCTCCCCGTGTCCCTCCACCGTGTGGACTCTCGAAGGGATGGCTCAATGGGCAGGAAGCCGAGGACCTTGGACAGGCAATCTAGGCATCCTGGCGTGAGTGCAGCAGGCTGCTCCCAGGGACGGACCCCTCCAAGAGCGACCCGAGTTCCTGCACCCTCAGAGCGGCTGCATGGCTTCCCCTCCTGTCTCACAGAGCACTCCCTGCCAAGGGCCAGATGGCCAAGGGGTACACGCACCCTCCGGGACAGGATCTCTCAGCCCCGTGTCTGTCCCAGAGCTGTGAGTGGGGAGGTCTCAGTTGGGTCGGTTGTGTGCACACACGAAAGGCACAAGTGAATCAATGAACCGATTGGATAAATGAAACATGTAGTTGGGCCATTACATGAGACAGCAAAGAGTACAGGCGTTGCCAACAGTTATTCATTCACCAAACACTCCCAGAGCTCTGATGGTCCAGGCGCCATGCCAGGCATGGGATGAAAGATGGTGAGCAAGATGTGGCTCTGGCCTGCAGTGTCTAGCTCACTGGAGGAGGGGACCTGCAGGTCCTGTGGGCAGGGCTGGGGCACTGGATAAGGCCATGGGCGGTCCGCCCCAGGTCTGGCTGCAAACACAAGGTGGCACTCTGCAGGCCAGCCAACGGCCTGGCACAGGGGAGGGAGGCCCTGCCAGCTCTTCCCCCAGCTCCCTGGCGCTGTGATGTGCAGCCTCCCTGGGACAAGGACAGTCACACGTCGTCGCGGGTCTAATTGAAACCACTTCTGCAGTCTGGCAGAGATGCTCTTGCAATCCTAAGAGGGCTGCGTGGCTGGCTGCGGCGCCTGCTCCGGCCTCCTCTCAGGCCAAGCTCCGCTGGGATTTCCCCAAGGCCCCCTGAAAGGAGCGAGGCACAGCTCCTGGGGGACTCCCGTCCCTCTTTGGGGTCCCTGCGGCCCGTGGCCAGGCCACCTGTTGTTACACTTTGCAAACCAATGCTGCAGGGAGCCTGCTGGGGACCTGCGGTGGGGCACTCTGTAGAAAGGATCCCTTCTCCCACAGGCTGTGAGACCCAGGGCAGGCGGAATCACCTTACTGGGCCTCAGTTTCTCCCCTTTTCCTACGCTTGAGCCAGGAGCGGTGGGGCGCACACGGGAACACACCACATGGGGGCACACGCCACGTGCGCGGAGGTGGGAGAAGCGGCCCTGCGGTGGGGGCTCCGGTGTCGCCCGGGGTGGGAGCAGCGCGCCCTTGGCGTCCCTGTGCGCTGTTGTACTTTTAGGGGTGTGTGTCCCCGGGGAGCAGTGTTCCCTGAGCCTCGACCTCTAGGCTGAGGAGGGGTCCCCGCCATATCGGGTCGATGTGCTGGCACGCGCCCGGGGAGGTAGGGCACGGGGGCTTCCGGGAGAGGGCGACATTGGGGTGCCGCGGGCCGGGCGGGGGAGCAGCCGGCGGGGCGGGGCGGCTGCAGAGCGAGAGTCCCGGGCTTCCGGAGGTGGAGGCGCAGGTGGGTGGGGTGGGGGCGCCAGGTGCTCTCGCTTTAAAAGGCCGGGCGGAAGCCGCGCAAACTTGCGGCCCCCCTCGGTCGGCGCTGGCCCCTGCCCGCTCGCTCCCGCGCCCCGCCCTCCCGCAGCCTCCCCTCGCAGCCGCCTCGCTCCGGCTCTGCTCCCTCTCCCGCTCGCTCTCCTGCGCGCTCTCTCGCGGGCTCGCTCGCATTCTCTCCCTGCCGCTGCCGCCGGGCGCCCGCACTCGGCCGGCTGCGCCCGCTGGCGGCTCCCGCCCCTCTCCCTGCCCCATCGGGAGCCCGTGGCCGGACCCGGCTCCCGGCCGCCCTGCGCGCGCTCTCCGGTTCGGACGCGGGCTCCGCGGAGGCAGCGGGAGCCGGGCTCGCCGCCTCCCCGCTCCTTTTCGCTGGAGCAGCCGCCGATCGCCGCACTGAGCGACCGCCAGCTCATCCCCGCCGCGCCTGGGACTCCGGGCGGCTCCGCGCGCGGCTCGGTCCGCAGCGTCAGCGCCGCCTGCCGCGGCCCGGGCTTCGGGCACCGCGAGAACCGAGCCCCCGGCGGCCGCCTCCCCGCGCCCCCAGGGCGGCCGGGCACGCAGCCTACCCCTCGCCGCGGCTGGAGCCTCCCCGGCGCCCGGTGAGTTGTGGCCCTAGGGGCGCGGGGAGGGGGCCGTGCCCTCGGCCTCTGGGGCGGAGGCTGCGGTGAGGACATTGGGGCCGGGGAGGTGGCTTCTGGCGAGCTCCCGCGCTCTGGGTGCCAGGAGGAGGGCGGGGGAACCGGAGACCTCGGGGCTGGAGGGCGCGGGACCCGGGTGGGGGTCTCCCCTCCAGGCTGGGACCACCTCTCCGGATGCCCTGAGGGAGGGAAGGGGCACCGCTGTTTTTGTTTTTGGGGTTTTTTTTTTGCAGGTCTGGGGAAAAGTAGTGTGTGTGGACAGGGGTGGGTCACGCTCCCGCGGTGGAGGGTCGTGCCAGCTCCCGGTGGGGGCCGCGGCATGAGGCGCCCCTCTGAGGAGAGCAGGGCCGGCAGGCGCGAGCGGTATTTGCACCCCTTCTCCGCGGTCTGCCGGCGGGAGGGCAGCGGCAGCCTCGCACCGAGGCTGCTTCCCCAGGCGCCGCTCCGGGTGCCGTGCCCGCCCCAGCGCCACCTTCGCCACGACTGGAGCGGGGCAGCCGCAGGCTTCGCTGGGGCGGCACTGCGGGGCTGGGTCTCCCCGCGCCCCAGGACCTCAGCGCCTCGGACTCTCGGAGGAGACCCCGAAGCGCCCCAGCCCCACACGCAGCCCGGCCGTGCGGCTCCGAGCGCGCCGTGTGCGCTGTGGGGAGGTCCCCGCGCGGGGTCGGTCTTCCCCGCGCTAGCGGGCGGCGGGTGTCCCCTCCCCGCGCGGGGGCGGGGCCAGGAGCCGGGCCGGGCGGAGAGGCGCCCCCGCAGCCGGCGGTCGCAGGCTGTTTGCGCCGAGATCGGACCGCGGCGGCAGTGGCGGGGCGGCGGGGAGTGCTGAGCCCGAACGTTCGAGCGCCCCCTGCCCCTAGGCCCAGAGCGACACCCCCGCCCTCGGAATGGCGCCCCCCTTGCCACCCTTGCTGCTGGCGAGGGAGAAAGCTGGCTTGGGGGGTGGACTGAGCTGGGCTCGCGGGGATGGGCTGCCTGGAGCCACACGTCGGTCGGAGTGGGGGCCGTCCTGTCAGTGGCAGGAAGCTGAGGTGATGGGGTGGGTTTGCGTGTCCCCGTCACAGCCCCCCCGGACCATTCTGGTGAGTGGGAGACTCAGGGGCAGGCAGTGCCCACCAGCCTCACATCCAGCCCGCACCCTGGGGTGGAAGGGAGGGACCTTGGCGGCCACGGCCGCGCCTCAGGATGTGTCCCGGTGGCCCCACGTCCCCCGGCCTCAGGTTCTGGGGTCCACGGCCCGAGAGCTTTCATGAAGCGCTGGAGACTTGAGGGGACCTTCCTGGAGTGCAGAGAGCACCCCGCAGAGGGCCCTGGAGTCTCCGGGCAGGAGACCCCGGGAGGGCCCGTGGAGAGGGCCCGGTCACGTGCGCGGCTCAGAGCCCTTGGCCCCTCCCTGGTCCCCAGGGGACCACTTCCTGGAGGGCCCCACTGGCCCTTGGCCAGAGCCCGGCCTGTGGCGTGGGGAGCCTTTGGGGCTGTTGCTTGCGAGCCTGTGCTTGTCCGGGGCATGGGCCTGCCTGGCTGCTGTGAGGGGACCGCTGTCTTCCCTTCCCCTGATGTTTGACCTTTTAGACTTGAGCTCTCTCCACCGGCCGATGCCTTCACGCCTCTCCGGGACAAAACACCCCAAGAAGCTACCCCCGAAGTTAGCAGTGCTTGAGCCCAGGGAATGCCGGGGAGGAGTGGAGGGACCAGGCTGCCTGCCGGGGGCCAGGTCTTGAGTGGGAGGAGCTGCTCTCCTGCCTCAGTGGCGCCGCGTAGCGCTCCTCCGTCTCCTCCCTGCCCCTGCCCTCAGCTCTCCGCTGCCCTGCTGCCCCGTCTTGGGGGGAGCCGGCAGCGGCTCTGAGGGTCAGGGGGCCGGGCCTAGAGAAGGGGCTGAGTGGTTCCCAGCGCAGGCTGCAGGCTCCTGGCCACACCCTTCCTGCTGGCTGGGTGCCGCACAGCTGGTGGGAAGTGAGCAGGACCGGGGCCTCCGGAGCATTATAATTACAGTGGAGAGACCGGCCTCGCCTCTAGACAAGTGTGGAGCCAGCAGCCCCTAATTACTCCCGCCCCTAGGCATCTGTCCACCCCTGCTGTCCTCCTCTGCTCGGCCTGGAACCCAGCTTTCCAGTGGGCAGGCCTCAATGGCAGCCTGGGCAGCTGGGGCTGCCGGGTGCCGGCTGGAAGGTTATCTCACTTCCGCAGCGTGGCAGCCGCCACTGCCTGCAGAAGGCCTGGGGGGAGCTGGCATCGGCTCGGCCCTGCTCGCTGGGGCTGGTGGAGGCTGACCAGAGAGGAGACCAGGGGCTGGCCCCAGTGGGCAGCAGGGCTGGAGCAGGGGCCCAGCTCTGTCACTCGTGGTTGCCGGCTCCACCAGGGCACTGCCCTTGGGCTGCATGGCAGGGCCGCTCCTGCCCCTCTCTGGTCTCTGGCCTTGCTGTCTCCTCCCTGGCTGGTGGCTCCTCATTCCTGACCAGCTTCTTGTGAGGCCCAGAGTTCCAAGGGCAGGAAGGTCCTCCCTGTCCCTGCCTGGCTGCTCCGGGAGGGCCTGCAGAAGTAGAACTTACCCAGGGAAGAGGAGGCCAGTGTCCGTGTCACTTGTCGTTGGCCAGGGCTAGAGCCCCAGCCCTGCCTCCCTGCCTGCCTCAGGGTCTCCCTGTTTCTCTTGCCTCCTTGGAAAAAATGAGCACCACAAGGGTAGTAAAAATCACCCCTTAAATTAAAGCTGATGACTCCTGTTGAAATGTTTTATTATGAACCTCACTGTGGAGCCATCTCACAGTGGCAGTGAGACATAAATATAAGTGTACACATGTATATTAAATAAATCGGGGAATGTGGCATATAATGACATTTTTGGGACCCCGTTCAATTAAGGTAGATATTATCTGCAGTAACTGGGAAATGACAGCCCGGGAAGACACCCCTGGCCATCTGGAGCCCCGCAGGAGCAGGCCCTGGCCCTGGTCACCGGGATCGGCTCGCGGTGACAGGAGCTCATGAGAGCCCAGGACACCTCAGCCGGCTGCTCCCCGGCCCGGGCTGCCAGCACAGGGACCACAGTCCTCCACACTCAGCCCCCAACCGCCCTGGGGGTGACAGTGACAGAAACGGGGCCTTGCACCTCTAGTAAAACTGTGTCCTTGCTCGGGGATCTTCTCAGGTTTGCTGGTAGAAGTGAAGATGTGGGGCTCCGCCTGGATTCCCAGGCTGCTGGCTGGTGGTGGGTTCTCCATGTGGCTCCCTGTCCCTTCTCGGTGCCTGGCCCTGGGGGGGCCTGGGACAAGGTTTTTGCCCCCAGTGTGGTTGTGCTGGACGAGGAGTTGGGTGCCGATCCGGCTGGGGAGCCGGGCTGGAGTTGGGGCGCTGTGGTGAGGGAGGGGGACCAGAAGAGGGAGGAGAAGAGGCGGCGCTGGTGGCAAGGCCCACAATAGCGGCAGCTGCGGACAGACCCTTGCCCACTTCGGCGTTGCGCTGGAAAGCTGGGAGGGTGCTGGCAGTGGGGTGGGGGAGTCGGGCGAAGGGAGCCCGGGTGTGGCGGCTTGCAGGCATGGGGAGAGGCAGAGGTCAGCGCTTCATGTGTTGGGACCGAGGGGACCTGCTGGTATTGCTGGCCTTGTTGCAGCTGATGGGGTCGGATGTGGCCTGAGAGAGTGGCCGCCCGCCTGGGCCTGGGCCTGGGCCTGGGCTTCTCTTGACGCGAGCCCCCGCCCGCTAGCACACTCAGAGCTTTCAGGGAGCCCGTATGGCTCTGTCCACACAGTGGCCTCTAGGTCCTGCTTGGACAAGACTGGGCTCTTTCTCTAGCTGCGCCTCCTGTTCAGTCCTCTCTACCTTCCTGGGCCTGTCAGTCATGCTGGCCTCTTTGGTCTTCCTTAATCCTGAACGCTACAAGCCCATGTCAACCTCAGGGCCTTTGCACCTGCTGTTCTTGCAGCCCAGGTTGTGTTTCTCCCAGGTATCCTCAGGGTATTCCCTGCTTTTACCCCTGGTCCATTGTCTTCTCCCCTGGGAGGCCTTCCCTGATGAGCCTCTTCTAGGACAGCCCTCTGGGTCTTTCCCAGCCCCTCTCTCCCTTGTTTTCTTTCATAACCCAGATCCCCGACCAGTGTCTCTGCTGTCCCTGCCCCTCACTGATGTCACCTACACAGGTGTCTGTGCCACCACCCCACAGGCCCCTGCTGTGTTTCTAGGGCCGTCGGAGTCAGGTGTCAGGTAACCTCGTGCTGCAGGGCAGGAGGTGTGAGGAACCTGGAGGAGCAGGAGGGTTCTAGGCGGGGAGGCAGGCGGGGGTGCCTGGAGGGAGGGCTTCCTCTCCTTAGTTCCCAGGCTGTTGGAGCTAAGTTGCTGTCTGTCTCCCTCTCTTGGCCCAGGAGTTTCTCGCCTGTCCACCCGGCCGGCCTGGCTGCATGGCACAAGGGGGGGCTGGGTCCTGAGTTGGGTCTGGGGGTCAGGAGGTGCATGGGTTTCTCAGGCTGGTGAGCAGGAGCAGCTCCGGTGACAGACTGGGGCCTGGCAGGTGCTGGGTGGTCACACGGCCGGGACTGGGGACGGTGGGGGCGGCTGTGGACCGTTCCTGGCCAGGCCCTCTCCCCTCCGTGAGAGATGGCCTGGCCCAAGCCACACCTCTGCCCAGGGAGGGGAGCGGGCTCTGCTCTCTCCATGTCTTTGCCTTTTGTTGTGGTGTTTGGGTTTTGTTCTGTTTCGCTGCTTTGGGAAGAACAGAAGGCAGTGCCAGCGGTGGGGAAGAACTGGAGGGTTAGGGCCTCGTGGTTGTCCTCTCCTTGGCCCGGCCTCAGAGCTGTGGTTTGTGGCTCTTCCTGGCTGGGCCCCGGCAGGAGACGCGCCCACCCCTTAGGACTTGGGGTGGTCACTGAGGCAGCTTCCTGGGGACCCCCGCCCGACTACAGGGAGATGGGTAGCCTGCGTTCCCCTGGCAGCGGCTGTGTGCAGGCCTCCCCTCCCCTCTGCTCCTCATCCTGCTCCTCCCTGGCTTCATCCTTCAGAGGAGGAGAGGGCCAGGGAGAGCGTGAGGGAAGGGAAAGGGAAGAAGGGGGCCTGGGCCCGCCAGGGGACGTAGGCACCATCTTGGTGTTTTGCTAGTGGGGCGGGAACTGGATTCGGGGTGTCTGGGCCTGGGGAAGGGACTTCAAAGTAGGCCCTGGTCCTGCTGCCCACCACGCACAGCTCATGCTGTGCTCGGAGGCAGCAGTGGGGAAGGAGTCCCGGGCGGCGCTCGCCCCAGACATCCTCAGCCGCTGCTCTCCGTGGCTCCTTTCACTCAGGGTATTTTTACCTTTCCCTTGTTCCCGTTACACCATCAAAGGGAGGAGGAGGGAGGCTAAAAGAGGTGGCGCTTGCCCGGCTGTCTGGAGGTGCTGGGGAAAGGCAGGCCAGGGAGGTCCGGCCGGTGCGGGGCCTGCTGTGGCCAGGGGCTGGGACCCTCAGGGCTCTGGATTCTGATCCCTGGGTCTCTGCCTTTCTCTCTTCCGTGCGTGCATGCGCGTGTGGCCAGCTGTGTTCAGGCCAGAAGAGAAGCCAGTGTTGAGCCCCCGTGAAGGCTGTGGGAGCCCCCATGCCAAGGTCCCCCATCACGGGAGCCAGTGGGCCTCACCACCGTGTGCAGGGCCTGAGCGGGGGTGGGGCAGGGGCAGCCTGCACCTCCTTCCGGGCTCCCTGTCACTCAGAAGCACCGTCTGGGAACTGGAGGTAACACCTCACAGCTCCTGGTAGAGTGCTGGAGTGGTGTCTGGGTGCAGCAGGCTGGGGTTGTGGCTGTCACCTACCACGGGCACTGGTGCATCTGGTTGGGGCACTGCTCCCCGCCCACAGTGGGTGCCCTTTCTCTGCACCTGGCTTGCACATGATTTGCTGTGTGACTCTGGGAGAGTTGTGTGTTGTCTCTGGTGTCCTGGCTCACTGGCCGCATGGGGCCAAAGCGAATTAGAGCCATAGTCTTAGCCTCCCAGGAGCAAATACACAGGGGGCATTTTAATGAGGGAGGCAGAAAGGAAGTGAGGGTCTCCAAGGCCAGAGGAGAGCCCAGGAGCTGGGGCGGGACTGGGGTGCTGGCTCCTCTTTCCCTCCCTTTGGCCTGGGAGGGACAGTGGGCGGGGCAGGGTTGGCTCTGAGCCCACCTAGGTGCTTTGATGAGGCTCCTCTTTCAGCCACCTCGGGAAACTGAGGCACGACAGACAAGTGGCCTGCTGAGCTTCGTTGCACCAGCCTGAGGGGAAGAGGTCCTGTGTGGCCTCCAGGGAAGCCCTGACTCAGCCTGAGCCTTCTCCCTGTGGGCTCCTGAGAGCTGAGGGGGAGGCTGGTGCTTGGGAAGAAACCCCCGGGGGAAATTAGCCCAAATTAGTAGTGTGAATGAGGAGGAGCTGGTGTTCTCGCCTCTACCCTTGCGCATAAATATTTAATCACAACAACAATAATGAAGGTGATCATAAGAATGTGCAGTCGCTCAGGCCATAACTGGGCCACAATGTCAGAAGGAAGTGGGTGGGGGAGCAGCAGGGAACTGAGAGGCAGAGAAAGTCAGGAGCAGGACCGGGTGGGGAGGGTGGGATTGTGGTGCAGGGTCCTGGCCTGCCCTCCCAGTGGCCCCCCAGCCTCGGGCTGACTTGGATTTCTTCCCAGTGGGCCTGGGGTGCTTTCCCCCTGCAGGGAGCTGGGCACCAGTGGGTTCTCTGTTGCTCACAGTGATTCAGGTGCTGCATTCTCTTGGGCTTCAGTTTCCACTTCTGTGTAATGGGGCTGGGCCCGGTTGGGCTGGCTTCCGGCTCCACCACGTGTGGCACTGCAGGAAGCCCCTGTTGCTCTCCCCCTTGGCTGCTGTTCCCGGGACAGCGCTCTGTGCTCTCAGCCTCCAAGGGCAGCAGGCTCAGGCCCTGGGAAGTCTTCACGTGTGACAATTTCACCTCCAGCTCTCCCATTTCAACCAGAGCTGAGCCGCAGCTGGGAAGAAACCAAGTAGAGATTTATGGAGTCTTTGGCGATAACCTCAGCATCTCCCTCTCTCATGCTCCCAATGAGAGATCAGAATAGCTAATGTCTTCTCCGGCTCCTGTGTGACTTGCTCTCTCTCTCTCCCTCTCTCAGGTTGGTAGGAGGAGAGGATCGGAGCTGTTTTCTCCTTGATGCCAAGCTACATCCATCCAGGAGCACTCTGCCCTTTCTGTCGCTGTCTACTGGGACCAGGTCTGCAGGACTTGGACACGAGGGTCCCGGCACTGCTGCAGCCCCGGCTGGTCGCCGCCAGCTGTGGGGCTGGACTGTGTGGGCCGCTGAGCTCTGCCCGAGTGCCCTGGAGGAAGCGGGAGAGCCCCCTGCCATGGTGCACCCTGCCCGGCCGCCCTGCTGCTGAAGCTGCCCTGCGCATGTGTGTCCAGGCGGTGGGGCCGGGGGCCTGCCAGGCCTAGGATCGCGCCCCCATTCATGGGGCTCTAGGGGCTTCCGAGATGCCTGGGAAGAGAGGCTGGGGCTGGTGGGGGTCCTGGCTGCCCCTCTGCCTGCTCCTCAGCCTCTACTGCCCCTGGGTGCCTTCCTCCCTGGGGAAGCCCAAGGGCCACCCGCACATGAACTCCATCCGAATGGACGGGGACCTCACCCTGGGGGGCCTGTTCCCTGTGCACGGCCGGGGCTCGGAGGGCAAGGCCTGCGGCGAGCTGAAGAAGGAGAAAGGCATCCACCGGCTGGAGGCCATGCTCTTCGCCCTGGACCGAATCAACAACGACCCGGACCTGCTGCCCAACATCACGCTGGGCGCCCGCATTCTGGACACCTGCTCGAGGGACACTCACGCCCTGGAGCAGTCCCTGACCTTTGTGCAGGCGCTCATCGAGAAGGACGGCACGGAGGTCCGCTGTGGCAGCGGTGGCCCGCCCATCATCACGAAGCCCGAGCGCGTGGTGGGTGTCATCGGGGCCTCCGGGAGCTCGGTCTCCATCATGGTGGCCAACATCCTCCGCCTCTTCAAGGTCAGTGCCGGCGGCCCCGCCAGCGCCTGGCTCCCTTCTCCTCTGCTCCTGCTCCGAAGGGGGTTTCCCCAAGCAGCCTCCGCCCCTGGGCCAGGCCAGGCCGGGGCTCGCGCTGGCGCTGACCGTGGTGCTGAAGCAGCACCAGCCCCGGAGCCCGCGACGACTCGGCTGCTCCCGGGGAGCCGTGGGGCAGCAGGACACAGGGGGACGCAGGTGGAAAGACAGACCGAGGGTCCGCGGAAGGGCAGGCAGATAACAAGATAGGACGGGAACAGAACGATGGCGGTTGCTGGGAGAGAGGAGGACTTTTGTTTTGACATTGATTGCCGAGCCCTCCGTTGCGGGGGGGCGCCCCCCCCCCCGCAATCGCAGGCAGAGAACGTGACCTCATTTTGGGGTGGGTGTGGGGCTGTGGAGCCGCAGAAAATGCAGATGAGGCCTGCAGGCCGGGCGCGGCGGCAGGCGGTCTTTCCGGGCCCTGCCTGGGGCCTGGGGCCTGGGGCCTGCTCGCTCCCAGCACACCGCTCCCGGCCTCTGGAGCCCTGCCCGGCCCCTCCCACCCCCTCCTTCCTCTGCTGATTTGCAATTCAATTGGAGCCAAGTGCTTGCTAAGCTGCTAAAACAACCGAAAGCTACTGGGTAGAGAAAAACATTACAAGCATTTTACCAATAATTAGGTGCCTGCTTCCCTCTCTGAGCTGCCTGGTTTGCTGTGTGTGTGTGTGTGTGTGTGTGTGTGTGTGTGTGTGTGACAGCGCGGGCACAGGGACGTGCTAGGTCCCTCCTTCACCCTCTGTTGCCCTCTTGGCCTTCACACTTGGCCCCTTCTCCCCTGAGGTCCTGGAGTTGGCCGAGGCCTGGGACAGGCGGTGTGGCGCTGGGCTCTCGGGGTGGCGCAGCCGAGGGCTAATCCCTCTCACCGGGTCCTTTCTGGAACCCGTTTACCCAACTCCCGTGATGCTCTGGTACTTGGGGGCGGCTCTGGGGCCAGTGGGGGTGCTGAGGGGAGAGGCAGTAGCTGGTGGGGGGAGGGCACGGACAGGAGGAGTTGCCCGGCCCAGGTCTGGGGGCAGGATTTAGGGCTGGGCTCACCCCCACCATGGATCCCCTGCCCAGCACACAGGTGAATGGCCTCTTCCTCAACTGTTGGATTTATCTCATGATCTGGATGAAAACACGATTTTAATTTTCGAACAAATGGATGCATTATGAATGTCGAATGTGTGCGTAGTTCTAGGATGAAGGAAAGTTTGCTGCTGCCTGAGGGCAGTCAGAACAGCCCAGGCTGTTCACAGTGATGGGGCAGCAGCAGCAGGAGGAGCCGGGTCTGGGCCACCCGAGTCACCCCTACCACCCAGGCCTTCGAGGGGAGCACAGGGCCGGGAGCGTCACCCCATCAGATGGGGCTCAGAGCCCAGCCTCCAGGAGGCTGTACTGCAAGCGGGGCTGTTGCCTGCCAATGCCCAGAGCCTTCCTGTTAGGCTCCAGAGCCCGCTCAGGGGGGCAGGGGCCTGGAGTTTGGTGGCCTCAGGCAGCACAGGTGTGACAAGAGGCCTCCTCTGCTTCAGAGCCGTCAGGGCACAGACTGAGCGCTGGATGCTGAGGGGAGGGCGGGTGTCTGTCCCCAGCCCCGGTCCCTGTGGCCCCAGCAGGAAGAGGTCAGCTTGCCCTGCGCCCTCTCCTCCCACCCCTTCAGCCTTCCTCCCGGGACAGGGAGAACTGTGAAGAATCCCTTCCAAAGGGTCCCAGACCTGCAGGATGCCCCAGAGTGGGACCCCAGGTTCTGGAGCCAGCCATTCACACCACAGTGTGAGTGAGTCACAGACTTCCCTGGGAAGAGCAGTCGTGCAGAAGAAAGAAGAGGGCAGGATCCCAAGGAAAGAGGAAGTGGTTTCCACATCTGGACTGGAAGAGCTCATAGGAATCCAGAATCATCTCTTTTTTCAGCATCCCTGGTCCTTTAAAATGTTTTTAAATTTTGAGGCAGGCTCTTCTTCAGCTGCTAAACTGCCCAGCCTGGGCTTGAACTTGTGGCTCTCCTGCCTCAGCCTCCCAGAGTGCCATGATTACAGGTCTGCACCACCACGCCCAGCCAGAAGTCCTTTGGAGTCTTATTTCCCAGTGGGGAAAACCAAGGCCCAGAGGAGGGGAGGACGCCCCACGTAGTGCTCGAGAATTTGGGCCTCCCCAGGCCGGGCGAGAATGAAGGACTCAGGTCCTGAGCCGGCCCCGCATGGTGCCTGGCACACAGTCAGCCCGCAGGAAATGTCACCGCACAGCTTGTGGCTGGGCCTCAGCCAGCGAGCAGGGCGGGAGAGGGTGGGTGGGGGCAGTGACAGACGGTGACCTTTGAGGCTGATCCCGGAGAGGCCCCACCATCTGCTGTGCCCCTCGCGCCTTCCTGCCAGGAGCGCCGAGCCCAGCAGCCAGCTCCACTCCGGGTCAGGAGCCGTTCCGTGGACCTGTCCGGCCCGGTGGCCTGGCGGGGGTGTGGGTGCCAGTGTGGCCCGGGCTCCTCCAGAGCAGCTTGGGTGGCATCAGAGTCTGCATCAGGTCATGGCTTCTGCAGCTTCAGCGGGCTCTGTGCTGGGGCCAGGGCCTCTGGCTCCTGTTACCTTTCCCGCTGGCGTCTCCACAGGCAGGGCTTCGCTCGCTGGGCAGCCCGAATGTCCTTCCAAACCCAGATGGACCCTGCTTTCCCTCCCCAGTTCTCACGCTGACTGCTGCGCCTAGATCACCATGCAACCCCCGGTGCTGCTGAACACGCTCAGCCTGGTCCTCGCTGTCTCGGGGAGCAGCCCCCACCACTCACACCCTTAAGGCTCCCTGTAGATAGCACCCTATTTTTCTCTCTCTTTTTTGTTTTTTTGAGACAAGGTCTCTCTATGTAGTTCAAGCTGGCCTCGAATTCACTATGAGGTCCAGGCTGGACTCGAACTCAACGGTGATCCTCCTGCCTCAGCCTCCCAAGTCCTGGGATTACAGTTGTGTGCCACCACGCTCGATTTAGACATCACCCTATTTTTCAACCTCAGGGACTTTGCACCCACTACCCTCGCTACCTGGGATCTTCTGCCCCACTCTTTGAAGCTGGATCTTTGTCACACACACTTAAAAGCTTAGGGGCCTCTCGCTCCAGTCACTCTGTCCCATTTCCCTCCTTGGCTCCTTCACGGCACTCGCCCCAACTGCCCTCATGCACAGATTTGTTTGTTTCCCCATTTACTGCTGCCTTCCCTTCTAGACCAGGGTGAGCACGAGAGCAGGCCAGGGCCACGTCTAGGCTGCTGTGTGTCCAGAAGCTAAGAAAGGCCTTTGTGTAAATAGCTGGAAAATCCCAAAACAAAACAGGACATGTCGCCCGTGAGAAAGCCCTGTGACCTTCATGGTTCAGGGTCTTGAAGTGAGCTGCTATAGGGACAAAGCCCCGGGGATGTGGTAGTGGGGCCGCCCCGGGGGTGACCCGGGGCCCCCTGGATGTGTTCTGTCCCCTCGAACCTTCTCAGGCCCTTGCTGCCTGCAGCCTGCAGCCTCGGTCCAGCAAAGGCCATGCCGGTTCAGGGCTTGCCTGGAGCGTGGAGGAGACTGGGACCCTCGGAGCTCAGGGAGGTGGGTGGTGACATTTAAGCACTGGGAGGCACAGAGAAGCTGAGCAGCATGCGCCAGCCTGGTCAGGCCCCGGCTGTGCGGAGGGGACTGTATTTATCCTTTCCTGCTCGCTGTCCTGTCTGGACCACCAGGTACGAGTGAGTCTGAGGTGCAGCTTAGTGCTTCCTGCATGGCTTCTCAGAGCCTCACTTTACCCATCCACGAAATGGGTGCGACTCTCACCCAGAGAACCCACAGAGCGTTCGGGGCTCCTAGCAGATGCCTGGGGAGGCTGGTGTCACCAGGACACGTGTCAGTGGACACCAGGGTACATGTGAGGTGCAGGGCCCCTGCGGGTGGGGAAGGAGGGACGCGGGTCCTGCCGGGAGGACCACACAGCCCTCTGCTTTCACAGAGTCTCTCTCCCCAGTCCCTGTGGGAGGGAGCCTCGAGCCCAGGGCCAGGGCTGCACCTGGATGGAGAGGGGAGGGCAGGAGGCCCATACCCCTTCCCCACGCTGGGCCAGTGGGCAGAGGTTGGCCCCAGTGCCCTGATTGCTGGCACTGCACCCTGTCCCTGCCAGGGCCCAGGGCGGTGGGAACAGGAGGGGCCAAAGTGCAGGCTTCAGTTGAGGTGCACAGACATTCTGTAAGTTAGGAGGGAGTGGAGGCCTTGGGGAGCCCTTGGAAAGGACTTGGGGTGTTGATGGGCCCTGTTCAAGGTGTGGCATTTTCGGAGGGGCTGAGGGGGTGCGGCGTCTAGGGGACTTCCAGTTCTCACCCGCTGGCTCTGGCCTCCTCTCGTGTGGAGTGCAGTTTACCCATCATAAAGCTCATTCGTTCATACATTCAGCCATTCGGCGAATCTCGATGGTTGCGTCCTCCAAGGCCCCGTTGCTGTGCCAGGTGTCAGCTGGTGGCATCTCCGGTGGGCCAGCAGCCCGTAGGCAGGACTGGGCTGCGCTTCTCCTGGGCATTCCTGCCCTGGGTCTGGCTCAGAGTCAGACAGGCAGACAGATAGACCGGAAGTGGGCAGTGGTGGGGCCGGGCTGGCCCTGCTGCCCCCTGCGCAGCCCTAACCATGTGCCTCTCCTTTCCCCCAACCACTAAACTAGCATTTTGAAAACCCAGATGAGTCGGGAGGGAAAGGCAGCTAATTCTGCTTTCTATCCCAATTGACCTTTGCTGTGCACCTTCCCGAAGGCGGTGGCGGCTGGGGGACCGAGGAGATGGCATCTGCCCCTGGCCCGGCCTTCCTGGGTGGTGGAGTCAGCCTGGGGAAGGGCACAGGGACGCCTGTCTGACCCTCCTTCCCCATGTCTGTGCCCAGCTCCCTCCTGCCTGCCGCTGTGGCCTCTGCTCCTGTCGCAGCCTGCAGCGTCGCCCCCTCCTGCCCCCTTTCCATCCCCTGCC